AGTTTGATCTAAAACCTGGTTAAATGTAGTATCAGACTTAACTGACCACATGCTGGCTATGGTCCCTGCTGTGGCAGACGGGACAAAGGCAGAATCAACAGGTAGCTGGTAATGTTCCTCTGTTGTTTTCTTAATGGGGTGATGAACACATCAATTCCCTGCTGGGCTGATGGGGGGGGGAAGACGGGACAAGGGACACGACTCCTTCCTAAATCAGAACCTCCTGCCAGGGCCTGGCCACGTCCCCCTCAGCTCAGCACTGAGGAAGGGAAGGGAGGGTTGCTGTAGCACCCCCCAGCTTCTACCCTGAGCCACTACCAGGCATGTGCCTGCATTTTTTTCAATCCAGAGGGGGTGTCTGTACAGTTGCAAACTGGTTTAGCCTAGCCAGGTTAGACTAACCTGCAAAGATTGAATCAATTCAGGCTCAAACTTTCTGAACGTCTGTCCCTAGCCTCAAAGTGTTTCCAAGGTCTTGCTAAAGAGAATGGCAAATGAATCGATGTTCTGGACAGACTACAATCAACCTCCCCAATGTCACTGTGGATCAAGGCTCATGTTTCATTTTGCATACAGTAAAAAGGCACTATTCTGGTCGTTTCACATAAGAGAGGGTAAAACAAGAGCCTAGGATCAGCTCAGCACACAAAAAAAAAAAAAAAATTCTGCTACAAGCTTTGAGAAAAGCTAGTTTTAGTCTCTCCCTTTCTATCTTGCAATGACAATACATTGCAAGTGTTCTACAAAGGAGTGCTCCAACTATCTGCTGTAACATGCAAAACTACAATGTGTTGCAAGACAAGGGAGCTCAAAGCAAACGCATGAAACAGATGACTAGAAGCAGGGATGTCCTAATTTTGATTTCCATTTCTCAGAATGATGAACTTCAATGAATAATGGATGCTGTACGCCAATATTGCTTTATGATCACTGTCGCACTGTGGCTCACAGCTCTGCCATACAAAACGAGAAAATAGGATCACCGCTGCTTCACAGATGAGCAATCTGAGGCTCAAAAGAGTTAACCAACATGCCACAGATGAGGAATTTGATGTTCAAGAAGTTAAGCAACATGCTGAAGCCACAGAGCAGGTCAGCATCAGAGCATAAGACTTAAATTCATAGGTTCAGATCCCTCCCATAAATCTGCCTCTCACAGCAAATCAGTTAACCTTTCTGAACCTGTTTCTACCATTCTACAAACTACATAAGCAAAAAATCTCCATTATACAGCCGACCTCAGCATACCTCTTCTAGATTTCTTCATAATTCACAAGTAGACATTTTTTGACAAATGCCAGCTTTTCAAATATTCATCCACCCAAGGGGCAGAAATAATGCAGCATTAAATTATGGCCAGTGGGGAACAACTTTTGAACAAATGTAGCCCAATCTTCAGAAAAGACAAGCTGCACATGGATTTTTTTTAACCTCTCCCTCATTTCTCATTACAAACAATATTTCAGCAGCAATTCAGAGCCCAAAGAAAGCTGCTATTGTCAGAAATGGGTGAAAACTGAAAGCCTGACACCTCAAGCTTCAGGTCCCTAACAAGAATCCAGGATACAGAAAATCGTAAAGGGGGGGGGGGGGGGTAGAGGAAGGAAGGGAGAGAAGGGAGGCAGTTTTCTTGAGTTACCAGCTCAGTATACTCATAGTATATTGACTCACATGCTGGCAACACACATTCCATCTTTGGTTTCACCAAAAAAAAAAACCTAAAAAAGCAGAAGTTAGTAACATTCTAGCACATAAGGTGAGTTTTACTTCAGTAGACACTAGACAGTCCAGCTGAAGCCTAAACTTGCATCTAGCCTTCCCGTTAGCCGGCTGCTGAAGCTCCTGCCCTGGAATGCTAGAGACTGCGCCCCTTTACTTGTGTCTGGACATACGCCTTTTACTTGCGTCTCGCATGTAAAAGGCACACCCAAAATTTACCAGCAACTGTCGAGACAAACTGACAAGCGCAGTTATAACATTTTGACATTACCCAGGGGTTAGTTACCCCTGCGTGTTAAGGTTAGTAAGCCAAACTTCGTTTCTAATTATTTGAATACAAGGATAAAAAACAATGTTGAGCTTGAAAAGTTGTGAAAGTCCTTAAGTTTCTTGTAGCCCATGAGCTTTGAGATCAAAGTTGGTATTACAGAAAACTTCTCCTCTAAGGAGCCCATAGCAGACCGTTGCACCAATATCTTTCCAACACTACTCATGTGGACATGCAGCCATATAGGTGTAAAGCAACAGCATTTCTCCCAGGAGAAAGCCTTTAGTCCTGGGATCTTATATAGGTACCCGTCCACTGTCCAGCTTTAAGTATGTGTGAAAGACACAAGATAAAGTGTGCTAACCCTTGTCCCCCTTCCCCCAAAGGGCAACAGTATGTATATCTAAGTTAACCATGAGTTATTTAAGTTAATTGCCAGTCATTCCAGGAACAAAAACTTGCCAGGCTGCAGGTTCTCCCTTGTTACCAAGTGGCCGAGGAACAGCAATGCAGCTTGGAAGGGCTGCATGTGTAAAGGGCTGTGCTGCTCCTCTTTTGTCCCAGATTTCAACTCTGATTCATCAAGATTGTCTCAAATGAGACATGTTTTGCAGCCTGAGTCAAGATCTTCTGGAAGCAATGAAAGAGGACTCTGACCACAGGAGTTTCACTCAAATGAGACTGACACTGAAACACGGTCAATAACCCCAATTCCTGAAGCATACAGGCTCTTCTATACAGCATTAGGCTCACAGCCTATAAAGTTAAGAAGGGCTTTTCCTGCTTCGACTTAAGTTCATTGAGTCCCTACTGAACGGCACAGAAACAAAAATGAAAAGAAACTGTGCCAGAAAGTGCATTTGTACTTGCTGTCAGTCTTGGGCCTAAGTGACTCATTTTTCATCCTAGAGTAAAAGACATGGGGTTTTATTATTCTCTTTCCTTCTCAGTACATCTGAAGGTGGGCGTCAAATAACAACATGCCCAAATATGGCTCAATCTGAAATTAATATTAGGCCAGTTCATGCTGCACAAAATATACTTTCACCACTCTAAATACTCTTTGCATCTTCAGGCTCGTTGTTTGCATTCTACAAACATTATTTGCATACAGCACAGAGGTCTTGAATAAATAAGACACAAAGCACTGAAAGAAAACAGTCTCGTTCTTTAGCACGCCAAGCTGCTAGTGCCTGTGGCAAGATGCTCTCTTAACAGTTGTGAAGTAAAAAATACGCATTGTGCAAAAAATGTATTCCTAATTACCAAACACATTTTTGAGCTTTAAGCCTGGCAGGCTACCATTTTGCTGTGAAGCTTCATTTCTTATAGCTACTCATAATGTTTAGTGATCAGTTATCCATATCAATACTTGGCATTTATATAGAGCTTTTTATCCAAACCATCACTCCCAAGTGATTTACTCACCAAGTCAACTAACCAAGTTGTCCCCCTGCTTCACCTGTGCCATGTTCAGGTTCTGCAACTCATGGTTGTGTGCGTCAGATTGACTGTGTAGTTTTGCTAGTACGTTAGACAAGGATTTGTATAGGATGGTTTGGATAGGGATGATCCTGCCTCAAGCAGGGGGCTGGAGTAGATCAGCGGTCAGCTACCTTGTAAGGATGCAGACTGGACTGAGCCAGTGTAGGTCAAAGGTAGGTTGGTTGGTGCAAGAGTGGGTACTAGGACCCAGCTACCTCTGCCACTTTTTCCTGCTGCTATTGGTTTTCCCTGCAGCTGCCATTTCTCCCTAAACTAACAGGGTGAAGTGCGTGATACCAGCACAGTGAAAGCACCTGCCACTGCTGCTTTTTCCTGTACTGGAGAATGCAAAGAGGCTGCTGCCAATCACCTCCCTCACCCTCCACGCTCCCACACACTCAACGCAATTGAAGCCCCAGATTTGCGGACTAGATCAAAATACTTTGCAGGTTGCTGGTTGCCAGCCCCTGGACTAGATGACCTCCAGAGGTCCCTTTCTGCCCAATTTTTCTATGATTCCGTGAAAACTGCAGGCAGAAGATCCAACTTCCATTCCTCTCTTACCTCTAGAAAGAACTCTCTACGTATAGCTCCTATGTCTCTACACTGCCTTGTCCATGAGCAGATGAATTTACATAATTCAGGGGCAGCTTTTCAGTGCTAGCTTCCCTTTATAGCAAAGAACAAATGATCAATCCCCAGGCAGTTACATGCACACTTCTGCTCCTCTAAATAATTGTGACGCCAAGTCCTACATTTTGCTTTTTTTTTTATTTTAAAGATAGTGATTTTGAATCTTCTTTTCTTCTCCCACCCATCAAGTTAATTCTCTGATATCTAAACAGTTAGGTTTGTGGCAGCAATTAACTGCTTGCACCAATTTAAAATGCACTGGAGGGCAACACTGTATCCAAGAAAGGGATCAGATCCTTCCCCCTTTTTTCAGATACATGTTTATTATTTTAAATATCAGAATTATAATCGCACAGCACTAAACAGACTGCTTTAAAAGCTAGAGATCAACCAGCATCCATGGTGCTCATGTCACAGACACTGTCATTTTCAGTAAGCAGCTGCTATAGAAAATAGAATGCATTTGGTTTCTCCATGAATAACCTCAAAATACTGGGTTGTTGTTTGTTCCAGTTTTGAGTAACACTGTTCAGAAGTGAGCCTGATGTCAGCCACAGCAGCGCATAACCCCTTTCACATATTTTTGCAACAAGGCGCAATCTCAAAAACTGCAACAGCAGAGCTGATGCAGACTGAGATTTAATCTGAGGTGTGCTGTTTTATCTACTGAGGCTATATGGACCCAATATGCACATTCCCTATGAAAACAGGCCTTCCAGCCTTCTTTCCCGTTACACCTTTTTGATAAGATTTTAAGTGCTGTGCTTGGCTCACAGAACTGAAGCCATGCAGAGGAGGAGGACAGCATTTCTAGCAGTGATCTTCATTCTTGCTGCCATATCCAGGCTGCAGGTGGCTCAGAGAACCCAGTGTACTGCTGAAGTAGCTTACTTACTTAGGGAAAGGTCTTTAAATTCTGGAAGACTGGCAGAGGCACACAGCTGATAGAAGATATGGTAGTTTCGTTCATCTTCTGCCTGAAGAACAAAACATTGAGTCATATTAGAGTTAAAGACTTAAGGACATTCAGCAGCCCTCCTTTTCTCTCCTTACTGCCAGCAGGGTTGTCCACGTTACTGTCCAAACCCAAAAAGGTACGTAATTGCCCCCATAACTCTGTGTCACAGCCAAGGGAGCCACGCTAATCACAACAGCTGCTTGAGGGTCAAAATTAAGCAACACACACGTCCTGTAGGGGCTGAGGATATCCTTTTCATGAGCATAGTTTTTGGGATATCTTACAAAAGGAATAATTTATTTAATGGAATCTGAATGTAAAAAAGTGAGGTCACAGGTCAAGAAAGAGGGAACTGTTATTTTAATAACACGGAGTTAGTTGTTTGAGACCCCCCAGGAGATCAGAGACCTGGGTATTTATATTGTTGAGCCACTGCTAGCTGCAGTTCTGGTAAATGAAAGTAATGGAATCGCAGAGAGATATCAACCTACCCGCCTGCCTCCACCCCATTCAAAAGATTTTTAATTACGTTTTCCAAAATGCACAAGTGTGCCATTTTACACTGGTACTCCTCTCCCATTATACCTTTGCTGAGCATGTGCATTTTTATATTTTCTCCTCTACAAACTGTACAAGTCATTTTACTTTCCCAAATATATTAGGGATTTTTTTTTTAAGTTTAAACTTTCTTTGAATTCTGTGATTTTTGCCAACTACAAAATTCTAATTAAGTCTATCTTCAATTTAGCTTGTTATTTTATTTAGTTTAGAAGCACTTAAGCACCAAAATATATCTGAATTTATTTTAAACTCTTTCTGCTTCTGCATTTGCAATTCATTCATTTCATTCTTTTGATTGAAAAAATTTACAGAAAATGATAAATAAGGTCTAGGTACCTTAAGGGCTATTGCAATTATAACCAAAGTGCAAAACAAACAGCAGGTTTCACTAGCTGTATATAGAAGTACAGCTGGGTAAAGAAGTAGGGAAAAATCTTTTCAAACACTTTTATAAGCAAAAGCAGAAATACAAAGCCACCTCTGAAAGTCAGAACCACTAGCACAGCCTGACAGGCTGGAGCAGGGAGGGATGTTTTCTCAGGTAAAAGGCAAGGAAGTAAGAGTAGGTGGGGTGGATTACTTTGTATTTTGGGGCAGGCTGTTTTGCTATACTAATCTCATTATAGAAACAGAATAGAGAGTTTTAAGTTACTTTGGCTTTTATTGTAAGGCACCCTGAGACTTTTGGGGGAAGGGCAGCATATAAATAAAGTAGTAGTAAAATGTGTAGCATCACAGCAAAAACAAGTTGTTCCAAGTTTCAGCTGAAGTGTAGACTGAAAGTGAGATACTTTCTGAACCCTGCACAGCAACCCCGTGAAAAATGTGCATCACAGAAGTCCAGCTCTCCACCAAACTTCTCCCTCACATAGCTTGCACAAGTTTAAGAGGTTTTTGCTTTTCCAGTACTTCTCCTTAAAGTTAGGTAAAAATTCCAGCTGCTTTTGAGATGCTGGAGTGCAATAGGTAGGGAGTATGGGAAATGACTTCCTGGGCCCAAACATCCCCGAACGCACCATTTAGAGAACCGGGCCTTGGTAACGCATGAGCAGTCACTGCGCCCTGCCGCTCCCACCTTCCACCCGATTCACAGATCACCATTAGTAGCACGTGCAAGCCCGTGCACATGAAGCAGTGGAATAAATAAGAAACATACGGGTTTCCCCTAGAATAATGACACAAAGTCAGAAGTCACCATCCAGTCATTCAGTGCTAGGGGCACCAGTACAGCTCACACTTCCAAGAATGAGCTCTCCAGGGGAAGGTCAGGGATTCTTTAGGTTGATCTGGAATGTCAAGTCATACAAAAGGGGCTCTCGGCGCTAGAGAAATATCATCAGTTCCAGGATTTCAGTTAAAACTATGGCATCTCAACCTAAAATTTTTAAATTTTGTTCATTTGCATTATGTATCCTAAGGGTCAGTTGTTTTGGGGTTCACTAACTTCTGCTCTTTAAGACTTCTATCACAGGGGCGGGCAAAGTCTGGCCCATGGGCTGGACCCAGCTGGCAGTGGACTCCATTTCCCAACAGCCCCTGCCTGCACAGCTGGGGTTGGTTTCCCTGAAGACCCCAGCAGCAACCACGCTGTGATAACCAGGGGGGCTGAGGTTTCCATGGCCCCAGCAGCGCTGGCAGGCAGCAGCGGCACCAGCCTTCTTCTGGTGAAGGGGCTGACAGAGTCTGTGCTGCAGGGGCAGGAGCGGGGCAGGCTCAGCTGCTCCCACCTGCATTGGGTAGGCAGAGGCACCACCACTGGGAGGGGTGGCTATGGAGGGCTATGAGAAATTTTGGGGTGGCTGTAGCCCCCTCAAGCCTCGCCCTTACCACCACCCCTGCTGGCAGGGCAGGGAGCTGGTCCAGAGCCAGGATGGGATCTTGCAGTGGTGACAGCATGGTCTAGAGCTGGGGCAGAGCCGTGATCTGCAGCCTGCATGCCTCCAGGCAGGGACGTGCAGGCAGCGGATTGGAGCTCTGCCCCAGCTCTGAAACACACTGTCACCATTGCAAGGAGCCGGGGTAGAGCCACGATTCACTGCCTACACATCCCTGCCTGGGGCGTCCAGGCAGCAGGTCATGGCTCTGACCCAGTTCCAGACCACACTATCACCGCTGCAAGATCCCAGCTCTGCTCCAGAGCAGCTCCATACCCTGCCATGCACCCTGCCAGTGCTGCTGGGGCCGGTCTCCATGGAAACCCCAGCCTCACTATCACAGTGTGCCTGCTGCTGGGGTCTCCATGGAATCTGGCCCCAGCCGTACAAGCAGGGGCTTCTGGGAAATGGAATCCGCCGGCCGGATCCACGATTTGCCCTCCCCCCGTTCTATCAGCAGCAGAGGTTGAGGCAAACAGAGACAAGGTTATTAATGGGACGGGTACATTTACGTATAAAAACACGTGATGATTCTGGCTGCAATAGCAAGACTAAAACTGATGGCCCAGAAGATGCTTTCCAGTGCTATATCATTCTTCCAGAAGTCTCTGGACAAAGCATGGTAAAAGAAAAAAAACCAAACCAAACCAAACAAACAACATGGAAAAAAGTATCAACTTCGAATGGTCCATGGCCCAGCAAATTTCATCTGTACAATTAAAAAAATATAAATATCCTTAAGAAATACTAAATACCTTAAACCTTTAGAAAAATAAAAGTAAGATGGATTTAATCTTTTTCCTGACATCCTGTCAGTTTTTTAAAGGTTGTCATCGAAGGCAGGAAGTACCAAAAACACAATGTTAATTAAAAAATAATAAAATCCAGAGTTCAAAAGAAAGTGTTGCATAACTAACCTGGAACACAACTCTCGACTTTTCCAGGAGATACGTCCTCATATTGGCACCGATGATATGGTATCTCTTATCAAAGCCAATCTGAATGTATTTCCCAAAACGACTGCTATTATCATTCCTGGTGGTTTTAGCATTTCCAATTGCCTGTATGAAAGGGAATAAAACATTAAGAACAACATTCTTTTTTGTTGGTAAATTTGCACGTTAATTTCTCTGGAAAACTGCTGTCAATAAATAAATCGCTCTTACATAAGTCAAGCAGGGCTATAAGAAAGCAGTTCCCAGATGGAGATAGAGAGCAGCCACCTTATGAGCAGAGCTGCAGTTTCATCTTTGAAATGATACGACTTTACTGTTTGAAAGTTGTTTTTTAGTTTCAAGTACTTTTACTGTAGAAAAATTCTGAAAAAAACTCAATATGATGTCACTTATTCTCCAATTACTGAGAATATCCAGCATTCCATGGCCATAGCAACTCTCACAGCCTGGCCTTTGAAATCTTCTCAACCCTTCACTCACTTGCTTGTATGCCCATTGGTTTCACAGAACCACCTCTGTAGCTTCAAGGTGGTTAGGTTGGGATTTTGAAAGGGACCACAGTGAGTTGGACACCAAATCCCATTGATTCCCATGGATCAAGAGTCATCATTAGCACATCACAGGAAACAAAACAATTGTTTGCAAGGAAGAACAAACCTGTTTAGCTAAAGACAGCTGAGGATAATGGAATCTTTTGAATCAATAGCATTTTAGTGAACCCCCCCCACTGCACAAAGGTTATTCTTCACATACCACCCACACCCATCATTATGGCAAAGGACAACATCTAGCTACTTTTCATTCTGACCCGATGGGAGGGGGGGGGAAATCTAGAGTTCTTATAATCCCCAGAGCAGGCACACCCACAGTACTTGGTTCCCCCCGACCCAACAGTGAACATCTGTTGGGTTGGGGGTGGGGGAGGCTTCCTGTAAATTATGGAGCTTTCTGGAAAGCACCATAAGTTACAGCAGGGAGCTGCGCATCTGTTAGCACCGTTAGAGTAGTAACCACAAGATGTCTTTGGAGATCCATACTTTCATAGTTGTTAGAGGCTGAAAGGGACCTTGCAGATAATCAGGTCCAGCCCCCCCTGCACTGCACTTGGGCAGGAAAGACTGCTGGGATCAGATGACCCCAGCAAGATGGGCATCAAGATGCTTTGGGACAAGGAAGAGAGAAAAACCTCTCCCCTTCACTGACCCATCAGTCCCCAGATCCATCTAAAGCCCCTCATGCTGCAGACTCAGCTTGAGGATTTAAGCTATTAGAAACAGTTTACTAATTCTAGCATTTCATCAGAGCTCTTAATTAAAAATCTGTCATTAAAACAGAATCCCCCAGGGAACACTAGCTTCAGGCAATGTCACATAATATCCCCATTACGGGCAGTTGAACTCAATCGGTTGGAATGGAGAAATGATTACAGGGTCGATATTAATGGATCTTCTGGAGAACTCTGGTTTGAAATAGGGATTGGGGGGCGGGGGGGAAGAGGAGGCAGGGAAGGAGGCATGATGGGACCCAAATAAAAAAAACATAACTAACAAAAATCACCCTGTCCCCTGAATATCCCATCTAATTCCAGCTCTGGTAGTATACAATTAAAAGCATCTGGGCCAGGTTAGACCTTCAACATTTACAGATTCTACATAGACCTCAAACTTTATTACTATACTATTCATAAGGTGCAAATCTGTCAAGCAAAAGGTACCCACAGCAGGTGCCAACCCGATACATACTGGATATAGCACACAGGACAAAGTTATCCCTGCTCTCATGAGATCAGTGTAAAGGCAGGTTAAACAAATAGTAAAAGGAAATGAGCAAGGAGGAGAACTCTTACAGACGTTAGAGGCAAATATCTATTGCCCCATGTTTTATTCTTTCAGCCACCTGAATAGTCCTTTTCTCTAGTCCTCTCTGAACTGCACGTTATTGGGAAGCATGACATTCCTGTTTGAGGCAACAATTACCCAAACATATCAGGCTTGGTGAAAGGTTATTTGATTCCTAGTTATAGGTGCAGCTGTAGCATGGTCTATTCAAGTTACTCAACACTTGAGATGATAAAACCCTATTTTTAATTGCTTATTATTTAATAGTTTGGGATGAGATCTTCCAGGCCAGATAACTACCTCAGGTGGAGGTTTCTAGATGTTTCAGACAAAGCAGTTCCACTACTTTACTTCCAAAAGAAGAGAGTGGAGAGGAGGGGCGGGAAATCCCAAGCATGCATTTTGCTCATACCCATTGTCATTTATTCCACTCCCCATTTCCCACCCCCGCTTCACTTGCTGCAGCCCCAAATTCTGTTCCTCGAGTCCTTCCTCTCATCCTCTGAGCAAGCATTCACATGTGTAATTAGTTCTCTTTTCCAGAAGAGTTTGAGCACCTTTTCCCACAAAAATAAAACTATTCCCCCCGCCCCCCCGGTCAAGAAGCAGTTTGCAGCGACATCTCTGTAGATCTCTCCAACTTCTGCAAGAGACCAGACTCTAATTAGAAGCCCTTGCTGCACCTCATGTTCAGCAGCCATAGTACGACCTCTGGAGCTACCCAGGTTCAATGAGACGGGCTAGAAACCAACATCTTAGCCTGCCTTTCTGCACTAGTGCAGGGTAATCCCTTTAGCATGCAAGCATCAGAAACAAAACTGCAAAACCTCTTATAGATTCATACATGCTAGGGTTGGAAGGGACCTCAACAGATCATGGAGTCCAACCCCCTGCCTAGACAGGAAAGAGCACTGGGGTCAGATGCCCCCAGCCAGATGCCTATCCAGCCTTCTCTTAAAAAGGTACAGCGACATTTATAAGTTCCAGCTAAAAGCCAAGAGGAAAAAAAAAAAAAAAAAAAAAGATTAATTTTGTAGTCAAATCAGGCTTTGAGTAATAAGCATGATGTACAGGGCCACACACTGAACGAGGAAAAAGCAATGCCTTTCTCATTAAATGTGTAAAGCCCATATTGTACATCAAACGAGTCCTTCTTGCAATCCATTTCTGGTACCTACTTCAAAAGAGATGAAAAAGGAGAATAGTAGGTGGAGTCGGGAAGAAAGCTTCAGATGTTGGAAAAGCATGGAGAAGATCACCCCTTAATGCCCATTTACATGTGAACGTGTGCTGTATTGTTCACAGCACTGAAACATTTAAACATTAGATCACTGCAGAGAGATCAGATTGTGCAGCATAACTCTGGAACACCCGCTTTCACTCTGGTTTACATGCTAGCGTATTTATTAAATTTAAAAAAAAAAGTTAAAATTTCAGGTGAATGGACAGTTGACAGCAGTATGCAAGTTGCAGCTAGTTACTATGATGATAGAAATTCTACATGAGATAAGTCTCAACATACAAACATGAAATAAAGTAGGGTTTTAACATAAGAACATCCCTATACTTAAGTAAAGCATCATTATTATTTTTTTTTTTTTAAACTTTGTTTTGTTTAATTTCATGAGCGTCACTGTGGTACCCAAGGTTCACGAATGCTAGTAGTTGAACAGTAGGATATTAAAACCTAGATACTGTAAAAACCAAGAGACCCATTAACATATAAAACAGAGGGCACTGACAGAAGTGACGTTTGTCATATGATCAGCCACTGAAAGTGCTGTATAAGTGTGCACTGACAGAAGTGCCCAGCTGCTAGGCACTTTAAGAAGTGCCCAATCACGCAACGTATGAACCTTCATTACATTAGGGTTCAGATGAAGGCACTCCAAAGTGGAGCACCTTCATTAACCTCCGTTAGTGCGTGCTGGGAGCAGGGCTGGGCTGAAGCAGCCCATCCCCATCCCCAGTGTTGTCTTCAGGCTGGGAAGGGGAGAAGGGAGGGAAGGGACTTCTGTCTGGAGTTTGCCTGAGGTGGGAGAGCTCCAATTCCCACCCCCTCCAGCGCAAGCAGGGAAAACCAGAGGCAGATTAAGATTTATTGGGGCCCTGGGCAAACAAAAATTAGAGCCGCCCCACATACACCCCCCCAATCCCCTAGAGGGACAACTTATGGTGCTGCCACTGCCAAGGGCAGGGCAGGCGCCGGGCAAAGACGGATGCAGGCTGCCCATTGTGGGCTCGAGGCTCTCCTTTCTCCCCTCCATGCCCCTTAGGTGAGCCACCTGTGGCTCCATCCTGCTCCCCACCCCAGCTCTGGGGTCCCATTCACCATCCTGGCTGGGCAGTACCCCCAGCTCCTTTCTCATTCCCTCCCCCACCATGGGGGCCTCAATCTGCACCCCCATGCCCGTTCTCCTCTATTAGAATTACCTGCAGGGAGCTACCCAGCTGTGCTCCTGGAGGAACTAGAGGGGGGCCTGGGGGTTATAGCCACCCCAAAATTCACCTTAGCCCCCCCATAACCACCCCTCCCAGCACTGTCACCCCCACCCACAGCCCAGAGGAGGTGCAGCACTCCTGGCCTGGCTCAGGCCTGCCCCACTCCCCACATTGCCGATTGTTGGAGGGGCTCCATTTGTGGCGCTCTCATCAGCAGGGAAGCAAAAGCCATGGTTTTAAACTTGGCACCATTTTTGTCTCCCTGATGCCGATTGGCTGAGGCGCCCTGGCAGCCCCACTATTTGCTGCCAACCAGGAAGGAGACAAAAATGGCATCATGTTTAAAATCAAAGCTTTTACTTCCCTGCCAGTGAGGAGCAAGCTGCAAGCAGGGCTCCCTGACCTGTGCATTAATCTACTTATGGGCAAACCCCAGCATGGACTTCCCTCCCCTCTTTTCTCACCATCCTATCCTGAGACAGCAGAGTTGGGAGAGGAGGCTACAGATGCAGCCTCTCTCGCTGGATCAGCTCCAAAGTGGAGCTTGATCCCGCACCCTCCCAACTCAACAACAAATATCTGTTGGGTCAGAATGGTCAGTAACTCATGGTGCTTTCTGTGAAACGCCATGAGTTAGACCAGGGAGTGGGACAGCTGTCAGCACCCAGAGGTACTCAACCTTCCTCCCACTCCTTGTGTTCACACGTGTGCCCTCCCCTCACCCCTTAACATCAGGGCCAAGAGACACCTAGAGGTCTCTGACATTTCAACATGGCTCCTGCAGGAACTACACTGACCTACCAGTGGGCTCATGCCAGTTCACAC